AATTGGGAACTTCTATTCTACTAATCTTATTTTAATAAAGGAGGTTCTTTAATGTTTTTTCTCTCTCTGGTAGCATAGGCCCAAATTCCTTTTTTTTATAGCTTTATTAATTTGTGTGTGTGGTGTGTGTGTGTGTATATATATATATATATATATATATATATATATATGGCATGTGGACAATTGGTTATAATGTTTGCTTTCTGACCATGAAACCTGGGTTTGAATTTTACCATGGTCAATTTGTCAGGAAGGAGATACTATGATCACCCCCTCCAGACCAATAACATCAAAGTCTCCTCCTGACAAATTGACCATGGTAAAATTCAAACCCAGGTTTCATGGTCAGAAAGTGAACGTTGTAACCACTTGCCCACATGAGATATATATATATATATATATATATATATATATATATATATACACGCCACACACAAGGAAAATTTAAATTTTGTATTTAAGTAAGTTTTCTGGTGATGGTGATTTTTATTATTATATTTTTTTATATATATTCTGATTAAATAATTTTGCAGCATTAAGGTGTTCCCTAAATATAGTACGGTATATGTTGGAAAAATATAGCGTATATATATATATATATATATATATATTATATATTTATATTTTAAAGTTGACTGAATCTTTAAAGTATTTTGAAAATCACAAGCTTTGACCCCCAAGCCTAACCATAACAATGTAAAACCCAGTAATTATGAGAATCCAATTTAAGAATAAACATGTTCCAAAAATGCAGTACAGAAAGTGTAAGATTATTACAATAATATTACATTAAGAATATGGCCAAGAGCTGTTTTATTAATATTTTTGAGAGCTCATTTAATAAAAATAACTAAACAAAAACCCTTTTGTTTTATTCAAGGTTTTCAACAGTTATAATTTAGTTAGACCAAAAACTGTTGTAAATATTCCTTTTGATATATTTTACTGATTACATGATTATTAAATTAGGTGTGACTCATAATTTAGATTTCTTTTAAGACCAGAGAAAAATGAATCATTTTTTTTAAATGACTCAAGAAATGCTAATAAATTCCTCCTAAAATAATGAGTAAACACAACTTTCCTTTATGAGAATATTTTTTTTTATATTGAAAAAAAATGGATGCTATAATAAAAAACAAAAAAATGACTTGTAATAATTAATGTAACCTTGATTGCTCAATATTATAAAGCCCCTTACTTCTGTCTATCAGGAATGAAATAGGGCTGTAGTCAGTAGGTCAACATATTCACAATGTATGCTTCCTGTTTGTTCCATTGCTCATCAATATATTCATAAATATTTGATTGTTACAGCTGACTGCCTTCCATAATAGCTGAATATCAGTTGGGAAACCATGTTTTCAGCTTCTGGTGATTGACCAATGGCTGCTACTGTTGTTACAGTTCATCATTGTCTTCTTTTATAGCAATTCTCATCAAAAATAGGTTTTGAAAGGAATGCGCTTTTATTTTATTTTCATAGACTATTGATTTCCTAAAACATAATAGATGCTTATTTTGATGTTATCAAACCAACACTTATTTTTGAATGATTTTTTTTCTTTGTCTGCAATGAATCTAAGAAAAATCTGTGAAATTACTGCTTAATTTAATTCTTCATTTTCCTCCCACTTTTCAACTTATTTGAAAGTCAGATCTTACAGAATAGATATTTGCTCTTATTCATTTCAGATATATATATAATATATATATATATATATATATATATATCAAAAATAGGACAAGTACAGTGTGGTTTTGTTCAATTCACTGGAACAAGAAATGCAATTTTTACAATCAGAATGAGCAGTACAAATGCAGATAGGTCTCTACCTATGTTTCATAGATTACCAAGTATTTGGTAAGCTGTTAGCATGGCAGAAGAGGATGAACCTTCCCAACAATAATTTTTTTTGGTATGTGTAGGGTGTGGGGATTGCAGTTATCAGCGAGTGATGCCTGACATGAAATTATATACGATGCAGAAATGTGGCATTGAGTTCCTCCATGTAGACAAATTGCATTCATATATAGCTTGCAGACTGTGTTTCTGCAGGTTGCAGGGAACTATTTTCGTGACCAGTATTTTCCACAAATTCTAATAAGTTTTAATAAAATTGTTCCTCACCTTGTTCCATACTTTTTCAGTATCACTACTGAGCTCAACCTTTCCAACCCAATACAAACACACGCTCAATTTTAAGATCAGTAAAACTATTCTAGTTCCTCTCCAATGAAGGGAAGTAAAACTCAGTCTCCACCACAACGTATACCTTACAAGATTGTACAAATGTACATTGCAACATTTTTCTTTTTTTAATTTTATAAGATATAAATTTGACAACTCATGTTAGAGAAGGTGGAAATAATTGACTTTTTATATTTAAAAAAAAAAATTTTTAAAAGAATATTATTGAAATAAAACTTGTTTTATTTAATGGCAGACAGTCTCATTGCAGCTAGAGACGCAATTGAAATGGAAAACAACTCAGACATGAGGAAGTTTTTTAGTGTGTGTTTTTTTTTTTTTTTTTTTTTTTGGCAACTCCTATTGGCGTGGGAGTGTAGCTGAGATGACAAAACTATACATACAAGAAGTTAGAGTGAAAGAAGGAATAGATTTATTAACAATTAACTGTAATCAACATCAAACAACCCACCAAGGGTTGGATATGTTTCTTGATTAACCAACCTAAACTATGAATTGCTGAAAAGAAAGTGTTTGACTCAAGAGCCGCTCCTAGTCGTGGGTTACTGAATGGGAGGTATGATATGAATGTAAGAGGAGGTAAAAGTAAGTGAAGATAAGGAGGATAGACAGCGATTGACTTGAAATGGTTAAGATTGTGGTTTTTAGGGGAGTATCCATGTGGGAGTTTGTTCCACAGAGTAGCAGTTTTGAATGGCTGAAACATTGTGAATATGGCAATGAAGATGAGAATAACAGCTCAAATAATGTAAATAATGCAAGTAATCATAATACCTCATCTCTGAGATATAGATAGATTTCTTTTTTTTCTCTAATTTTTTTTTTTATATAAAAAAAAAAAAAGTAAAATATCTAAAAAAATTTTAACTTTATCTTCCGGTCTTAATCCTTATAGTTTAAAAAAGCCTAATCTTGCAGATGTTGGCTATGTAAGATCTGTAAATACTTGAAAGTTATCTAAAGTTTTCTTTAAACTTCATTGAATATATTAGGTAATAATATTGTGCTTATTTATATAAACAAGGTTCAAAATAAACATTTGTCACTAGATTGGTTGATTTTTTTTTTTTTTTTTTTACATGTCAACCTTTGTTTGGCTATTTAAGGTTAAGTTTCATATGTGGCACCTAGTAAGGATCACTCATTAAGTTGTAGTGGTCAACTAGATTAGCCTAGCAAACCATTACCACACATCATGGTAATTCCAAAATTTCTTTATTTTCATACTTATTGTTTAAGAAAACTGTTGATAGATAATTTTTATCTCTTGATACCCATTGTTTGATTGACATGTTATATTCTTAGAATTCAGGAACAAAGGAATTATGGATAATATCATCAGCTGGTTATTATTATTAAAATCAATTGATCCCAAAGATTTAAAAATGAGTTAAGATGTACTTTCACTTCAGTAAATTTCATATTAATTTTTTCTAATGTAAAATTATTTATAACATTGTATCTATGACAATGGGAACAATTCCAATTTTTATATTCTTCACTAAACTGACACCTTTTCCTCTATATAATTTATTTACAGTTTGTATTTTCTTGATTTCAAATGAAAACTTGGAAAATTTCAAAACATGTTTCATTGAAATTTTCACTTTTCAAAATTATAGTTTGTAATTAATATTATCAGCTGGTTATTGTTATTGAAAATAACTTATCCCAAATTAATCATAATAGGTGGCTTTGTCTATATATAAAGCTTAAAATATCAAAAAAGAAAACAAAAAAAAAACTTATGTAAGATGGAATACATGAAAATCAGATTTTTATTTTCTCAACATTTTGCTTCTATTATGTGAGCATTATCAAAACATTTAATCACAAACAATATTCCTGAACAAATCAATGAGCTTTGTACATAGGAAATATTTTTTTAAAAAAAGTAAAAACTGAGTGAAAATAAAAATGAATGAAAATTATGCTGAGAAAAGTCAAGCACACATACACAAAGAAAATAATGAATACTTATAATAAGAAATATTCTTTATGATGAGATATATAGTTGTTAAGGAAAGTATAAAATTTAATTAATATTTATTAATGTATAACTATATTTTAATATTCTTTAAGTATTATCGTAGCCAGAAAATGTTATATATTATAAAAACCTAGTTTTGATGAATTGAACTGAATCTTGATGTCACAGTTGGTTCAATAATTCTAGATGATTTATAATGAATTAATTGAACCATTTCAGTGTTTTTAAAATTGAAAGGATGTTTTGTATTTTGTTTATGGAAAAATAAAGAATTTAATGTATACTTGATTTTTATAACTCTTTTTTGTCTGTAGATACATTCACTAAAAGCTTACTATATAATGAGTGTGTGGCCGAGGGGTTAAAACATTAGCATTCTAAGCATGTGACCTAGGTTCAAATCTCACCATGCTTGATTTGTCATGGAAGTGACATATTGATAATATTGGTTTAGAGAGATGATCTCAACATACGGCGACATTGGGAAGTGCCTGAAAACAATGCAAAGAGTTGAGCTTTCTGAGTGAAATTGGGTAGAAATAACTGTATAGAAGGCAATGGTTGTGCTAGCACAATGTCACAAGTCATCGTGGCAGAGGGTTTAAGCATACTGATCTTATTCAAATTGTTGATCTCACCAAATTATGTGCACTCTCCCAGAAACTAAGGTTTATTCAGCATAAATGCTTTCTAAACCACAGATGTACAGACAGGTGTACTTGGATATAAACAGCTGGCTATATAATATATTCTGTATAATTCAAATGGAAATGAATGCGTACTTGTAATTTTTATATTACAGTCATGTTACATTGAAAACACCGGTTCTCATCCAATCACTGAAGTTAAGCAACATTGAGCCTGGCCAGTACCTAGATAGGTGACCACTGGGGATTACCAGGTGCTGTAAGCTTGGATGAGAAAGTTGTGTAATGAATAAAAACTCTGAATGAGAAATCAAAGAACTGAGTTCAAATTCCAGTCAAGTTCATTACATTTACTTACTCACAAAAACCCATAGGAAGGTGTGAATCCATTTTTCCCCCCAGTTATGGGTTACATAGAACAGACAGGACACATGACCCAGTGGATAAAAAGCATTGGTTGAAGTAATCCAGTAACTTGACCTAAAAAGTTGTGAGTTCAATACTTGGCCACAGCAATGGTGAACAAAAACTTGGAGGGTTTAGTTACTAAAAGGGAAATAACTGAAACTCGGATATCCAGAAAAGGCATGACATGTGGAACTAGAAAAATCTACCCCGGTGGACAAAATAAGGAGTTCATTTCGAAATTCCAATGTATATCACCTGAAGACGGCTGGAGCATAAAACGTGAATATTACAAAAAAGATGAGGACAACAGTCTGAACAATGCAAGTAGTGTAAATAGAACAGACTGGGTCCTATAGCCTTGGTCGGCAACCAGTCTACTGTAAAAAGTAACAGCATCCTACTGTGGGAATTCTTCTGCCAAGTTAATCATGAATTGGAAAGAGACATGATTACCCAAGTGTCCATCACACATGTCTCCTAAGGAATTTAATATTGTACATTGAGCTTAATTTGATAGACCTTTTATTTATTTTTTTTACCCCAGCCATATTAAGGTCAAATGATGTTTCATTGTCCACTGATCTCTACCATATTTGCTTCACTTATAAGGTAATCTTGTCCTCAAAAAAACAAGCAAAAAAATCCAACTGTATTCATTGGATGCCTGCCAATCAAAAATTATTTTACATAAATACTGATATTATTTATTTATTTTTGTCCATTGTACACTTATTTGAAATGATCTGCTTTTAACAGATAATATGCTATAAAAATTGTATGAATTTTATATTTTAACAGATAGATATGTATAAACATTGATCTTGCACCCATCACCTTTGTTGAGAATTGTGTTGATTTGGTAATCTTAGCTAGGGGTCACAAAGTGCAAACCTTTGTAAAAAGTGAAAACATGTCCCCAATTTTTTTCTTTTCTTTCCCCTTTTATCTTTTGTGTTAAATTATAGAAAAGGGATTTTTTTCCCCCTAAATTGTAGCAAAAGTAGGTCAAACAACACAAATTATCAGAAACAATTGGTCAAGGCAGAGTTCATAAGCTAAAAACACACAAATTTATGTGACATTTAAATTAGCCTAACTTATTGTATTTGTGCAAATGTTACTTTGCTTTTTAAACAAATGGAACACTACTGCCTTATTTCATATAAATAAATCATATGGTTTCCTACACCTTAATAAAATTCTATCTGATGTTCATTAATTGTTGTTGAGGAAGCAGGCTTGCTTAAACATTATTAAAATTCTCAATAATAATGAGAAGAACGGGGCAAAATAATGAAACAAGACAATAAGACAGTAACAAAGTAAAAAGTTCACAAAATAGAAATAGTGTTGTCATGTAAAAGGGATGCAGTCAAGTAGTTATAGCCTTTTGACTTCAAAGCAAGAAAGAAAAAAAAAAAAATGTGTGTGCAAAATCAAGACTTGTCCATTTTAATTGGCTAGGAGGAAATCCCAGCATGCGTCTGTAGCATTTACCTATGAATTTTGGGAGATTGAAACCAACATTCACTTGTGTGTGTGTATATATATATATATATATATATATATATATATATATATATATATATATATATATATAAAAAAAATGATTCCATCGCTACATAAGAGTTCTCATGTTTCAAAACAAGAGCCGAAAACTTCAATATAATTATTTGAATTAAAGTACCAAGCTCTGTTCCATCTTCAAGCGAAATTTTTTTGGGAATAACTAATTCCTGAAATTTACACATTTTATAAGCATATTCATTATTAAAATTAAAATTACTATGGTAACGTCTAGAGCAATTATTTATAGGAAAGGGGCATAAGGGTTAATAATTTGTATCGATATCTCGGTTACATTCAAAGAGGTCAAGTCAGGGTAAGTTTGGGGTGTGTAAATTTAAAGCAGAAAATGACATCGTCTAGTCTGGTTAAGTGTCTATGGAGATTTATTTTTTTTTTTTTTATTTTATATTTTATTTTTTATTTTTTCCTGAAAGAGTTTTAATATATAAAAAAAAACTGTCATAATTCACTAACATTTGTTTTTTTGACAACTTCATAAAGGGTGTTTTTTTTTTTTTTTTTTTTTTTTTTTTTTTTGGTACCACTGAAATTTCAGCATAAATCTTTGATACCTAAAGTTTAAAATGTTTTTTTCATTTTTTTTAAAATTCATTCTTGAATATTTCATTTTAGCTTTAATTGAAAGCAAAATGATTAAATTTATTATTTCCAGTAAGTAAAATATTCTGGTGTATTTCAAGAAGAAATTTATATAGATTGGAATGTCAAATTTAATTTCAATTTCTTAAAATTTTCTTAAAAGCAGCCATTTTCTTAATTTTAAGAAATTTGTAAACAAAACAAATGTATCGATTTTTTTTTTTTTTTTTTTTTTTTTTTTTTTTTTAAAAGAAATATATATACTTCTGACATTTGAGTAAAATTAGAAAGTTTAAAGTTAAATTAATCTGATTTGAAATAAATATTACTTATAGCATAAAAAAGTAATATACAACCATTTATTTAATGATTGGTCCTGCTTATCATAGCTTATTTGAGGTGATAATGGATGGCCGATTGAGTGACAAAGCAATGACACTATGGCTGGCTAGAATTGATATAAAATTTACGAAATCTAAGTAAACATTTTTTTTTTGGTTTTTAACTACCTAGTAATTTTTACAAATGAACATATTTTCTGCAATTATCTAATAATTTATTGACTTTTATTTACCTTTCAAAACAAATTTAAAATACTATAAAATTTTCTTAAATTAATTTCTCTGTAAAGAGACAAAACTCTTGGACCACGTGACCGTTTCATAATAATGTCACATTTAGACTTTCATAGATGAAAATAGGGTACAAATTAAATATAAAAAAAAAATAATAATAAATTATTTTAAAAATAGAATAGTGTAACTACGTTTATTAATCTTTTCAATTTTGGATTTGTAAATTTTGTTTCCACTTAATTACTATATCACATCCAGGAAATAGGCCTATACAGAATTTTACATGATTTTAAACTATTATAATTAAAATTTTAAAAAAATGTTTGTAAAAATTCATTATTCATCAGAAACATTTTATTTCTCCAGACAATAATGCCCTTAATATAACTTATTTACAAAAGCAATTAAAAGCTTTTCTTATTAAATAATGTCATAGTTTTATTGGATTCATTATTTTTCAATTCAGTCTAAGTTTGAAAAAAAAAAAAAAAGATTAGGCAATTTAGATTCTCTAAGGAATCCTACTTTTAAAAAAAAAAAATAAATATTTTTGCAAAATTTTATGTAATTAAGTAAGTGGAGGGGTAACATGGTAAAAAAAAAAAAAAAAAAAAAATTTGTTACGAAAATTTTATAAAAAAAAAAAAAACCCAAAAATAATTTTATCCATGTGTGAATAAGTCCTGAAAATTTCATTAAAATCAGACAATCATTTGGTTTTTACAAGAATTTCCAAATCAATGTGTTTTCAATGGAAAAAAGCACAAAAAAGTCAATGTTATTATTATGTCACCGCAATGACATAAACAAAACAAGATTTTAACTAAAATTTCAAATGTTTTAGAAAGGATTAAAAAATTTTTTAAAATTTCAAAAAATAATTAAAAAATACTTTAGTCTTTCATCTTAATAATAACATAATTATTTTGACAATAATACTTTTTTATTAAGTTTGTGCCTTTTTCATTATGCTATGCTATTTTCTCTCAAAAAAAAAGGTACATATATATATATATATATATATATATATATATATATAAATATAGTCTTAAGGTGTGCTATATTTATGGGATAAAGTGTTCAATATCAGAGATAGCGCATGTGTAAATATAAAAGTGAACATTGAAGTCAACAGGCTGTTTCATGCTAGATGCAATCGTCAGGCCTGTTGACTTCAATGTTCACTTTTATTTATATATATATATATATATATATACACACACACACACACACACACACACACACACACACACACACAAAAACACATTTTTTAAAAAAAACTTATATAAAAGATTTATCTAATACATATAAACAAATTCAGATAAGTTTGTCATAAGTTAACATTTTTTAAAGAAAACAATTTGAAAAAAATTTAATTTACAATCAAGTTTCTTGAAGAATGGATGCAAAATGTCGTCCTCATTTTCATTGCCATATTCACAATATTTCAGCCATTGTACGCTATGGCCATCTACAGATGGGATTTTGAACCAGTCCCTTTATTTAGTTCATGGTGGGGTAGATTGTTCCAATTCCACATGCCATAAAAGCATTGGTTGATTGATACAAAAGTAACTTAACCCAGAGAGTTGAGTTCAATACCTGGCCACAGCAAAGGGAATAAGAACTTAAGTTATCAAGGGGAATTAACTGGAGCTAAGATATCCAAGGGCATGGCATGTGAAATATGACAGTAAAGATGAGGAAAACAGTTTGAATATTGTAAATAGTTAGAATAACTCATCTCAGACATATAGACAGAGGATATAATTCTGTGAAAATCAATTTTTTTGCTAATTTTTGTCATCCATAATTAACTTCAATTATGCTAGAGTTGATGTCTACTGAGAGAAAATATTTAACTCTTTAATGAAAAACTTTCGATTACAAAAATATAAGATTCAACAAGAATTAATTTATTTAGTGATTACCTAATTGTATTTTGACAAATATTACTTTTCCTTTAAAATATAGTGGTCGGGGGACATTTGTTTGCAGTTGTAGTGTCTATTGTCTGTCAACTCTGTTCAAAGGTCAAAAGGGTAATCTTTCTTTACTCATCTATGACAAAGCTTGGTACAATGGACAGTGACAACTCAAAACCGGAACACA